TCTCTCTCTCTCTCTCTCTCTCTCTCTCTCTCTGTGTGTGTGTGTGTGTGTGTGTGTGTGTGTGTGTGTGTGTGCGCGCGTGTGTGCGTGTGTGTCTGTCTGTGTGTTTCTTTTCTTTCTTTGCCTTGCCGGGTTTGAATCTTACTCTTTGAGATGCAAGGGGGTTATCTTTCTTGTTTCTGTGTTCTAATCAATGAATGTCTAACTTCTTGATGGCAGGGTAGAATCTTTTGCTTCTTATTTTGAAGGTTTCTTTAAATGGATATCCCGTTTTCTGTTGAAATGACCAGGTGGTGAGACTGACTCTCCCTCGGCTATTCAAGTTCCGCCTCTCCACAGAGGCGGCCGTGAGAAACACCCCTCTCTCTCTGGACAGACAGACAGACAGACAGACAGACAGACAGAGGAAAGGGAGAATGCTGCCGGAACGATATTTTCAACATCTGGTAAAGAGTTCAACATTTGTTTCGAGTAAGACGATCAAAGGTGTGATAAAACTGTGATTATGTGTGTAGCATGTCGATTCATTAACTAAATTAATACTCGATGATGGCCGTGCATATGAAATAACAGCAGGGAGAAGAATCAACCGACGAAACCGACGACCTCGCGTTGTTCGCCGATTTTAATCAAATCCATTCACTGACTTTACTCCATCCACTCACTATCCTGATGAGTGGAAGAAGGCTCCACTGAGAGAATTGGTTGCACAATCGACGGACATTGTGACCTGACTAAAATCATTTGGATGCGGTCATCAATTCTGCAAAAATTTGATTTCGGCGCACAGGTAGGTGATAATGTTGACGTCAACAATGTCGGCGCACACGAAATATGAAAGAGGAGAGATGCAGCCAGTCTGGCAGCATCCCGACCAGTTGAATGGAGATTCAAATTCAAAACAAGAAGAGAGATATGATCGGAATCGAGTGACCGGGAGGACCAATTAGCCCCAGACGTGAAGAGACGGCAGCCAAACAGCATAAAGGGGGGAAAACAAAGAAAAAGTACATGATACTATGATGATAGAGAAAAAGAGCCCGAAGGATGTAATACAGTAATATCACACAATCAATATTCCGTCATCATCTTATTATTTTTGCTCTTTTTCTCTTTTTTTTTTAACATTTAGAATCACCTAGGAAGGGACTTGAAGTCGGACAGGCGTGCCTCCACAAAGAGCAGATAGTGGCCCCAAGATTACTATCCCAGTGGGACGTCTCTGTGCCCTCCCGCCATCTCGCCCTCCCTCAATCTTCCCGTTCTCTTGCTATTCTCCCCTCTCATCCCTCTCTTGCTCGCTCCAGGGGGTGCGTCCAGTCATTACCAACAGTCAAATGTCCTTTCATGCCACACCCTCTGCCCCCCTTCTCTCTCTCTCTCTCTCTCTCTCACACACACACACACACACACACACACACGCATCTCTCTCTCTCTCTCTCTCTCT